AGGAAAAGGAGGAGATGGAGGGGGAACTTGTAGAGTAAAAGACATTTAAGAGACACATTACAGTGTTTTAAATGGATTTAATTTTGGGGGATGCACATTAAGGTGAAAAAAAACTAGATGGGTATACAAGATAGTGATTAAAAGTCATGATAGGAGGTTACTTTTGGGGACCAGGAAGGGGTTGAGATTGTGGTGGTATTTCTGGATACTTGGCAAAGTTCTATTTCTTGACCTCAGTGTGGTTCCAGGGGTGTTTCCTTTGTAATAGCTCATTAAACTGTACATTTATTTTGTGTAGTTTTCTTTATGTGTATTTTATAATGAGGAGATTTTTTTTAAAAACCATCATCCCTAAAATAGAAAATCTTTGTTATTTGGTTGAAAGTTAACACAGCCCATACATTTCTCTGGAAGAGGTATTTCTGACTTATTTTGGCTTTTCAGCTGAATGCATTCATAATGCTCTCTGAATGCTTCTTTTATCAAACTATACTGTATTAAAAGTTGGTCACATTTTAATTTCCTATCAGTTGCTATTCCTCTAAATCATTGCATATACAGTTTTAATTTTTATGGGGAAAACAGTTATCTTTGTGAGGTTATATTTCCCTAGCCCTGACAACAGTGTTTAAGGTTTAATAGCTCTGCTTCTGTGTTTTTGATTAATTTGGTAAACAAATTCAGGTGACCTTCTCTGAGTAATTTTATCTTGAAATTACCACCATATTCAGAAAGCATTATCAAATCCATACACCACATTATATATGACAATCCACACATACACCATTAAAAACTATTTTTAAATGAATATACTGATAAAAATTTTCTTTTTCTGCATACTATCTATTGTATATTTTTCAAAAGAACTGTTTTTCCAAATTACATAACTCTGCACTAAGCTTCTAATTAAGATGTGTACTGTTGTTTAGAGCTCTGCAGTGTGAAATTAGACCAGCAGTTTTCTAATATCCATAAAATAAATAAAAAAAAGTTCCTTCTCTGAAAGACAGATAATTCAGTCACAGAGAGCTTATTTCTATGTTTCCTTTGTTTTCCTTTTTTTTAGCTGCTTGGTAAGCCAATTTTCTACTTAGACTCTACTGTTACAACTCTCATTTGGTTCAGTATGTGGGCTTTATCCTTTCCATGGTCTGTTATGCAAAAAAGATGGCTTTAAAATTTTCTTTTAGTTTGCTGTAAAGCAGTGGTTCTCAACTTGGATGCACATGAGAATCACCTAGGGAACCTGTAAAAGAATACTGATGCCTCCTCCCTCTCTGGAGATCCTGATGTAACTGGTCTGGGTGGGCCCCTTTGTAAAAGCTCTGCAGGTGATTGTAATGTGTTGCCAAGGCTGGGAACCACTACTCCAGGATCTTGCCACTGTCCAAATAAAAGCTTATTATCTTTTCTGATTGAACTTGGATGGGAAATGCTTTTAAAAAATTCTATAGTTTAATAGATGCAAAGATTAAATTTCTTCTCTATGAGGCTGCTACTTTTTTAGTTTGAATTTTAGGGTTTAAGAGTATATTGTATCTTTTATTCTGATGATTAGTTCAAGAAGTCCATTGGTCACTAGTGAAAAAAAACTTAAAGACATAGGTATGAATATCACTTTTATAGACTAGTGGTTTTAGTTCATGATATTGTAAAAAATGTACTATGATTCATAGTTAAAGATTACGTCTTCACACACAAAAAAAGAAGCAATTATTTCCCTAGATATTTCTTCCAAAAGACATTCACCTTTTTTTTGTTGTTGTTGTTGTTTTTTGTTTTTTTTGAGGAAGATTAGCCCTCAGCTAACTACTGCCAGTCCTCCTCTTTTTGCTGAGGAAGCCTGGCTCTGAGCTAACATCCATGCCCATCTTCCTCTAGTTTATACGCGGGAGGCCTACCACAGCATGGCTGCCAAGCAGTGCCATGTCCGCACCCGAGATCTGAACCAGTGAACCCCGGGCTGCCGAGAAGCGGAACGTGCGAACTTAACCGCTGCGCCACCGGGCCGGCCCCAAGACATTCACCTTTTGCATATAGAAGTTCACATAAGGTTCTGAAAAAGAAATCTTTACAAATTTTTCCTACAGTAAAATTTTGATAGAATGACTGAAAGGGCCAAATCCAAGACAAAAACTACTTGCTTAAAAAATGAATTATATATTTTAATATATTAGGATCAAAAAAGGGAACATTAACTATGCAGTCAGTGATGAATAATTAAAAATCATGTGCAAATGTCACATACAACTTTATGAAAATCTATTCAAATACTTACATAAAATGGATAATTTTCTAGAAATACGAATTATGGAAAACGATTCAAGGAAAAAATAGAATTCCTGAAAAACAAACAACCCTTAAAAAATGGAATCAGCTATAAAAAATCTACCTTCCTTGAAAGACATCATACTCAGGTAGCTTTATGGGTAGTTTCACCAAACATTCAAGTATCAGATAATTCCTTTTGGTACTGTTTCAGAGAGGAGAAAAGGAAAAAGCTAACCAAATCACTCCATAAGCCTAGTACAACCTTGATGTGAAAGTGAGAAAAGATAGTAAAAGGAAGTAAAATTGTGTAACAATCTCATATTTGAGCAAATTCTGAAGCCTCATTAATGCTCTCCCCTTACTATCTCTCTAAGTAGAATCAAGCATTCCCCATTGGCTCCTACTATACCTTACACATATCTATCTACCGCACCATTTAACACTTAGTGCACCTACATGTTTTCATATTTGTCTCTCACTAGTAGACACTAAGATCCCTGCAGGCAGGGATATTGCTGTAGTCATATCCCCAGGAATGAAATACAGTACTCACTCCATGGTCATACTCAATAGTTGTTGAATGATGTGGAAAGAGAGAGGGAAGGGCCTTTCAGGTAGAAATACCAGTAATGTGTATAGGCAGGGGGTGAGAAACAATGAGGCAGTGAATAAACCATGTGGCTAGAGCATAGGTTTGTATAAGGAAATAACATTGGGGAGGTAGGCGAGGGCCAGTTAGGGTGGACTTTTCAGTGCCAAGGCTAAGTTTACTTTCAGTATCTACTGAAGGTATTTGAGCAGGCAATGGCTAAATCAGATCTGTGCTTCAGAATCCAGATGAGTACTTTTTTTTTTTTTTTGCAGGGAAGGATTTGCCCTGAGCTAACATCTGTGGCCAATCTTCCTCTTTTTTTTTTTCTCCTTTTTTCCTCCCCAAAGTCCCAGTGCGTGGTTGTCTATCAAAGTTATAAGTGCTTCTAGTTCTTCTACATGAGCCACAGCCACATCATGGCAACTGACAGATGGGTGGTGTGGTCCTGTGACCAGAAAGTAAACCCAAGCCATCAAAGCAGTGACAGCACCAAACTTTAACCACTACGCCATCAGGGCTGGCTCTAGATGAGCACTTTTAGAGCTGTCAGGGACCTGGAGGTGACCTACATGGTCTAAGTCCACCATTTTAAAAATTAGAAAACTAAAGTCAGAGAGGGTAGGTGATCTACCCAAGGCCAAGAATTAGCTAAAAGCAGGAAGAAGCTTAGATTTTAGTTAGTACATGGTCCAATCAACAGGCAAACCGGGTTTATCCAACTCCAGAGTCCATGATCTAGATGACACCGGGAGATGAGGTATGTAGACCATATGTATATCCTTTTAGAACAGTCATAATTTCATGTAATACACTCATTTCAAATAAAGGTAATTTATGTAATGTATAACTAAAGGTTGATTTAATTATTTTTACTTTTATTATAAAATAGAACATTTAATAGAATTATAATTAGCTTTATTAAATTAAGTCATTTTGAAGAAGTATTTCAATCAATTAGCTTCTGGATCCAAGATCAATAAAATGGTGGGCATGAACAGGAAGTGAATAGGAACAAAGCATTTCCTTAGCTTCACAAAATCCACACCTAAAGCATTACAAGTGGTTTTAGTTACTGCAACAGAATTGGAAAAGTTCCAGAAAAAGGTTAGTTAATTAACTGATTAATTAAAAAGAACTCTTCAGTCTTAAAAAAACAGCCTGAAAGTTTATAAAGCCAGAAGAGGTAGATAGGGATGGAGAAAACTTGGACGACTTATGTCACAGAATACTAATTCTGAGAAATACTTTAAAATCTAAAAGACAATAGATTTAGAGAAAATATAGGAACATACTATTTACCCAGCCAAAAACTAAAAAACTGAGGGGTGGGGGTGCTTTTTCTTTTTAAGTTATAAAGAAGAAAAACAGAATTTCATACTCAAAGTACTGGTACAAGCTGAAAATACCCATAGGTTCACAATAATGAATAGAAACACTGTTAGGAATAGTGTGAGATATTGTCCTCACCTCCTAGATTAACCCTCTTGGTGCTCCTGTCTGAGGTAGGATACAAGACTGAGAAATCCATTGCTCTGTAGCCTTTCTTACAAATTCTTGCCCCAGCCATGATTTAGTACCACAGGGTCTTGAACAAAATAATCACTTGACTAACGTGTTCATTAATTGACTAACTGAAGTTTAAAGAAGGTGATTGATAACACAGCTTTGAAAGGCATGAAATCATGAGCAAATAGTAATGATAGTACTAATAATGATAATAGCAAGAATCACAACAGTGATCAGTGATTGAGAGCTTACTGTATGTAGGTATTGCTCTAAATGCATGTATTAACTCATTTATCTTCATTAACTTTATTTTTCAAATAATGAAACCACAGCACATAGAGGTTAGTAACCTGCTCAAGGACAAAGAGCTAGGCAGTGGCAGAGCTAGAATCTGAACCCAGGAGCCTGTGCTCTTAATCACTGTGCTATTCAGGCCAGCCCTGGAATTGTCTGCATCCTCTAAATGTGATACTTTTAAGGATCCCATTTCATACATAATTTCTTTTTCTGAATATTTGGAAAAATAAATTATAGTTTTCAAAAAGTATTTGCATTTATTTCAGAATAGAAAAACTAATAATCCTATTTCATTTGTTCTTCAATAAAATGTATATATTTTCTTTAGATTTACCTCCAGTCTTCCTTGAGCATAACCCAGGAGCAGGAGATTGGCTCTGTTCTTCTCAGAAGAAATGGGGGCCCAAGGCCAAGCATCATCACTGACCAGTGGCCACCAGCAAACAACTATATCCTGAACACAATTGATAGCTAGACGACGCTCTGTTGTCCTGTTTACTGGGCCAGGTATTTCATAATAGGAAATCTAATGGTTAAAAAGAAAAAAGCATACAAGAATCACTTTTTTAAAATGCAAAATCCTCACAGTATTACAAAAATGAAAGCATCTGTAAATGTAGATAAATGCAAGTAAATATGCATGTTAAACATGTGCTTAAGGAGGTGTCAGAATTTACCAAACTCTTTTGACACATACATAAAAAAGACATATGTTCAAAATTCTCCCCATTTTTAGCAGAGGAAAGGAAAAGGAGTAATGTGAGTTAGGGAGGAATTGGTTGCAGCAATCCCAATCAATACCAAAATGTACAGTCATGGTTGCTTGACAGCATCGACCTACACATAGGATTTAAGACCAGCTGTATTAAATGACAAGTTCAGTACTGCTGACCAAGAGTGTCTGACTACTGTTTAAGACATAACATGCTAACAATGACTGACAACAATAAAAGGAAAAACAACTTGAGGCAAATATTGCTTTAAAGAATACATAAGACATACACACATATATTCTGCCTAAAAGGATAAGCCACAGCATCATTCGTAAAAGTTTATGCAGCTTCTGAGAATTATGCTTCTCTTTCTTAGGAAGGATTTATAGAATTTATTATTCAAACTATGTTATTTTGGAACATGGTTATTTGAAAACATAAGCACGGCACCATCTGGGTGATACATGCCAAGGAAATATAGATTGCACCGTATTTCTGCTTAAGGAATTAATGGAAGGTTGATAGCTTGGAAGAAAAAAAAAACTATCTTGCCATTGCTGGTCAGCAATAATCGAACCACTTTCTGGGGATTAAGCGCATGGCTAAGCCTACTGGACCAGACACTAGCAAAGGGCAGGGGGTCTTCTTATCAGAGAAATGCTTCTGGAGCCAGTCTCACTACATGACAGATTGCTTTCATATTCCTGTCTGCAAGGCAACAAAGGATGGCAGTAATGCGATAATGCCAGAGTGCAATGGGTGTTAAGAACCCGTTGCATTTATGTATTGTATTTAGTAAATAATCAGGCTCATCCAAATTGTGATCTCACCACTCAACCAAGGCCATTAAAATCAAGGTTAATGCTTTAATAATCCTTTGCTATTTTTTTTAATATGGTCAAAAGGAACTCTTTTCTATTTGCATGGCCATAATATTATTGACCTCTTCATCCTCTGAATGCACATCAAAAGGAACTGAAATCAAAATAATTACCAGTGTTGTTCTCTCATGGTAAACATTTAACTCCTTGTATTGTCCCTTCACTGTTAAATAAATGGAATTGGATTTTTAAAATGTAGACAGGAAAACTTGTTAAAGGTCAGTAGTTTCAGGATATTTACCCTGCAATTTTCTTTACCAAAATTATTTCAATCTGAAAGAATTAAATTATGGTACAACTATAAAGAAAAGCAGAATTATAATGCTCTATACTGTTTCCTTGTTTTAAAATCTAAATGGGCAATGACAGACAACACAGAGGTACTTTATGCTCTGAAGTGTAAATTCTTATATTTAAGCTCTCAGTATCATTATTTTAACTAGCTATCTTCTTATTTGGGAGAAATACCACAAGGGAATTGCTAAATCCTTAAAAATACACATACAGTATTTTGATGTCCTAGGTGTCATGTAAAGATGTTACTTACAAATTTCTAGATGAGGAAATAGAGTTAAAACAAGAGACTGGTACTTTCAGTCCTCATGTAATGTAAATCCTGTATGTTATCTGAAATTTCAGGTTTCCTACAAGTTTTAATGGCATCAGTATTCTATCATGATGGTCAAGAGGGCAAGTAAAATGAACAAGTTCCTTAAAATATCCTTCCAATGGACAAATGGCACTTTTTACTAAGTATTAAATATCTATATTTTAAATATTGAACCGGAAAATGAAAACCATGGGCTTTCCAAAGGGAAGTAGGTTACTTTTCTTACATATAGAAATGATGTGTAGTGCCCATGTTCTTAATTTCCCAAATCCAAAGGCAGGAAGAATAAACAATTAATCCCCTTACTTAAGGTATAAGGGCCCACATACTAGGTCTATTTTCTAGATCTTTTCATAAGAAAAGATATCCTGACAGTTTTTCTCTCTCTCTCGTTAATGGGTAATACTATCCTTCAACTGAGAAGACTTTACCAAGTTGTCCATCAAACCTAAGATGGAGAAACTAGTTCCACAAAAATTTTAAAATAGCATTAAAGACATTTACTTTAAATAGTTTGAGTTAACGTATATTGGTGCATTTTAAAGACCAGTACTAGTAAATAAACAATATTTCAAGTAAATCTACAGTTAGCCATTCTGGAAAATAACATCCCATTAAGAGTGTTAATATCAATTTTTTAACTAACCAAATAAAATACGAGTACCACTAATTTCCAGTTAAAGAAAATTAATATTATGCAGAGTATTATAGAAGCTCCACAAAGCTGGCAAACAAAACCAAATTGTCATTTATTACCACAATGAAAAACTTATTTATTTTATCTCATATTAAAAATCTTTTTTAAAAGAATAGATGTTTCTACTAGATAAAATTAAATCTCCCCCCATACCACTACCACCTCAATCCCAATAAGAAATAATCCCCAAGGGTAAAAGGTTAGGTTAAATACTACTTTTTCAAAAAAACACCAAGTTTCAAGCCACAAAGCTGCCTTCTAAAAATCATTGCCCTTGTTACAGATACTCTAGGTATGGCATAAATGTGCATCTTTTTTAAGGAAGCTGTATATCAGCTCTGTTCCCAGTGAACAGTGAACTGTCTCAAATCCACGTCGCAGAAGCTGGATCAATCTTGCAAACACAAATCACTGCTGAAAAGAGGCCTTGAACTGAAACAGCCTGGAAAATGTATTAGATACTCATTCTAGCAGAGAGTATGCCTTTCAAGCAGTTAAAATGTAATGTGGCAAAACTTAAATTAAACACATCATTTAAAATAAAAATCTTGCCTTAACAGATGTAAAGTCCCTGATACAAGGAAACAAATTACCTAGAGTTAGTGAAGGGAGAGATACTACTACAAGAAGGAGATTTCTTCTTGCATCTTCTCCAGTTATAGTTGGGAGTAGTGGGGGGTGTCTTCCCACTCCTTGTTTATTACACTTTTCTATTAACCTTTCAAAATGCCTTCTTCTTTCTTTCTTTTCTTGTGAAATGGAAGCCAGAGTAGCTATCCTAGCCTAGAAAGATGATATGGGGTCTTAGGGAAAAATGACAATGGTGTATATACTACCACTAGCAAGAAAACCATTTTCAAACGTGTATTTGCTTCTATTCTCTGTCTTTGACTTCCATAAGTACTATATAAATTGCTCCAAACATGCCATTGTTAGACCTCCTAGTGAAAGTAAAAAAGAAAACTTAGTATGGTCACTGTTTCTAGTGAAGTAAGCTTAATCCTGCAATAACTCTGGTTTTTCTGAAATCCAGAATGTTCAAGAATAATGAGCATAATATCAACTCATGTGATACTCTGGTATATCTTAATAATTAATAATATGACTATATAAATTGAAATCTCTACCTTATAATCCAAGGCTGAGAGTTTTTCCAGTCTTTTATTTACATCAGGAGAACCCATCTTCTTGGTAAACTGAATAAAACATAGTTTGTTTTGTGCAAAAAATGATAAGATGATAAAGCTGTCTGTGAGAAGAGCTAAGAAAAAGAAAAAAATTGATAATACTATCAAATACTAAGTTAGAATAAAATAATAATGAATATATTTTTTCCACTGAAATATTACAAAAAGGTATTTTCAGAAGATGAATATTAACTGAAAAACTAAAGTCTCCTAAATAGCATTATGATGTTTTACAAGGATATTAAAGATATTGAGAATAAACAATAATCATCAATCTAATCATGCATGGTTTTGGTATTTCTCCTTTTTTCCTGAGACCATTTCAATATACACTGATGTTTGGGGACAACCACCAAAAGAGATGTATTTGGAACCAGGGCTAGAAAAGCATAAAATAAAGACTATTTCACACCTGAATGTAAAGATGAAAACAGTTATTTTTATGTGTGCTTAGCCTTTAATCCTGTGTTTATATGATATAAACCATCTGAGAAGAAATTGGATTTTTCCAATGTTCTCCATCAATCTTTTTTTTAATTATTTTTAAATTTTTCATCAATGAACCTTCTTTTTGAGGGTGTACAAGTAGAATGAAATAAAGCATATTATGCCCAAAATGTACATTATACAAATTAATATTTAATAATACAGATTAGCAAAAATATTTCTATACTTTATTTCTAAAGGACACAAGTAGGTAGATAATTCATGGGTTACATCAAGGGCCATTATTAATGTTATACAAATTATTGATAAAAACACATAATAAAAGTTTGAAAAATGTTTTATAGTGTTCCTAGCATAAAGAAATTATTGAATGTTTTCTTTATTTTTCTTTACTTCCACACCCCTGGCTGTGCAAGCAGTGGCCAACAGTAGACCTACACAATTACAGGAGAATCTGGAGAACTGCCAAGACATCACATTGTTATCATGGTCTCATGAGAGTGTATTATTCGGGGTATAAATAAAAGAAACAAGTGAAAAAAGATATCTCAGAGAAATGAATAGTGTTGGAAGTCTCCTTTTAATTCTTATAGAGGAGCATCAATATGACAAAATCATCACAGCCACTATTTTATTTGCAGTGTCAACAAAGGGGTCAATTATTAGACATATTAAAATGGAACCTCTTCCATAAGGAAGCTTCCTGAGCACTATGTTCCTATAAGAAAAAGGAAATAACACACTTTAATCCTACCCCCAGCTTCTTATTATCACTAATGTTATTAATTATAGCCACCCTACAGCGAGCTTTTCTCTAAGATTATGAAATTGTGTCTGATTTATTCAGGGGTAGCTAGTGAGAGCACACAGCAGAAGGAAAGTTTCTATATTCTCACCTCTGTCCCTTCCAGTAGACCACACTTTGCTTTGATTATTCAATTTAAGATACTGACAATTTTGAATCTCTAATGATAATGTAACCTGACTCTTAGACCCTTTTACCTCGAATAAAAGAATATAATCTTCAGGAGTCAGCACAGTATAGTGGAAAGAAAATGGGCTTTGCAGCTACAACCTGGGTTCAAATCTCAGCTCAGTCATTTCCAAGCTGTTCCTTGTTATCTCATTTGTGGGCACATTCCTTAGGATCTCAGCTTCAATTTCCTTATGTATAAAATTGAAATAACTATACCTTATAAAGTTTTTTTTTATTATTGAAGTAGAGTTGACATACAATATTATGTTAGTTTCAGGTGTGTAACATAGTGATTTGACACCTATATACATTACGAATTGATTACCATGATAAGTCTAGTAACCACCTGTCACCATACAAAGTTATTACAATATTATTGACTAAATTCCCTATGAGGTATATTAAATCCCCATGACTTATTCATTTTATAACTGGAAGTTTATACCTCTTAGTCTCCTTCATCTATTTCATTGAATCCCCCCACCCTATAAGGTTTTTTCCTTTGTTTTTTTAAAGATTTTATTTTTCCTTTTTCTCCCAAAGCCCCCGGTACATAGTTGTGTATTTTCAGTTGTGGGTCCTTCTAGTTGTGGCATGTGGGATGCCGCCTTAGCATGGCTTGACGAGCAGTGCCAAGTCTGCACCCAGGATTCAAACCGGTGAAACCCTGGGCTACTGAAGCAGAGCGCATGAACCCAACCACTCGGCTACCGGGCCAGCCCCTAAGGTTATTTTTTGAATTAAATGAAATAGGTAGGTTGGCACAGCATAGAGCCTTTTAGAGCTCATAAATGTCAGTATCCTACCTTTTCAATAATTGGCTTAAAATCTTTTTTATGTGCTTTGTAGCAACTACATACTGATTGTGGTATCACTTAATAGGATCCAGATTTATCTAGTATACTTGGCATTGGTTTTTGATATTTAGAAATATTGCCCAAACTCTCTCAAAAGTTAGTATTCATAGACTTTGGTAACAAAGAATCTTCTTAAGAGCCAAAGCAGATTTTTTTACTGGTGGCTGTGTTGACACTTTTGGGTTATTTATGGAAAATTCATTTGAAAATGAAAAATACGTGAAATAACAGGGGACTAATTTTGAAAGAACACACACAAAAAAAACCCTATTTTGAAAATGTTCATTTTTTTTTTAAGGAAAGAGTCAAAAATACTCAGAATATGAGCTTAACACCTGACAAAAACTTTGATGTTAAATATTAGTTAAAACTTGTATTGGTCCCAAGGGTTGTAACTATGCTATTACAAGCAATTACTTGTGTTTGCAAGTCCCCAGTGGTAATAATTAGTCTACCTGTTGACACACTATTTTTCCTGCCCCACTGTTAATGCAGCCACTTGGTTTGCACATGGGGGTAATTACCATCACTGATGGTGTCTGAGATGAGCTTCCCCACCAGGCTTCTGTCAATCACCACTTTCTCCAGCTGCGGCCCAGAAAGGCTTAGGGACACCAGCACACCTGAACCAAACAGAAGCTAAACAAGGTTAAGGGGAAGAGGGGGAGGAAGATATATTGAGAATTAGAATCTTTTAAAAATCTCTCTCCAAATATATAACTTATAAGATATTTACACATGCATTTATACCATGAAATTACAAAGAATTTTTCTTCCTCAAAAAACAACCACTGACATTCTGAGTAAAAAGATACAACACAATAAGTGCATTGATTAAATCTATGTGCAAAAACCGAATTTAGCCCATGTTTATTAGAAATCTAATCTTCTAATACTTAGAAAGTACCCATGCAGAAACAACTGCTTTTTGCATTGCATTCAGAAATGTAATGTGTTCTATTAAAATATTTTGAAAGATTACTATTTATATCAGAAATTAAAAGGAGATTTGTTGAGGTGTGAATAGTCTTTGCTACACACTAATATAGAAAAGATGCCACCATGACAATACAAACAGTGAATGTTACGATTTATTTGAAATTTAAACTCCACTTCTACAAATAAAGATCTTGTCAGTCTAAAATATTAAAATACATATAAATCAAGGCAATTAAAATGTTAAATTTTTTAAAAAATCATAAATAACACATACTAGAAAAATTCCTCAAGAAGAGATAAAGAAATACAGTAAAGCACCAGAACTTTATCAATATTAGTGTTCACTCAGCTACCCAACAAAAGATGATTGGATGTCACCATTATGATTTTATACTGCTCCTTTCCATTCGTGGCAGCATAATTCATTCATCTCCAAATGTTTAAAACTTCCGAAAGGACTATGCATATGCGTATGCTTGTTATCTATGAGATTATGAAATATCAACATTGGAAGAAATTGTTTCACCTTCAAGGCAACAGACTCAAAGCAGATGAATCATGGAATAGCATATGGTATAACAAGAAAAAAACCAATTGTCAGTAAACTAATCATGAACATGCTAGCCAAACCCAAAGACAACTATGATTTTAAACAAAACAGGGGAATTCCCCACCTACCTAGGCATCATGTCCCAGCTAGAGAAAATGATTCTGTGTCAAGACATATTTGGACGTGTGTGAAAGATTAGCAGCATGAGGGACCAGGATAACATAAAGAAAGGCCACTGCTCCCTCACTGCCTAAAAGATTCCAGGCACATGAATGAGAAAAGAAACTGAAGGGTTCCACGTGACTCAATAGACTGTCCATTTCATGTCAATGGCCCTAAAATGGGTGAAGGGCTGGGGGGGGGGGGGGGGGGGAGGGAGACAATCATCTTTGTTGGTTTTGGAGACTGATAAGAGAAAGCACATTTGTTTCAAGGATTTCAAAATATTTCCCAAATTAATCTCTACTGAATTACATTCAACTTTGCAATATACCTTGATGGCAAACGCTGATATTTCCCTTTTGGGGAGTTCCTCATAACAACATAGCATGTGGTCTTTACTCCCTAAATTCTCTCTTTTCAAGCAGGCAATTTTAGTGTCATCTTTCATATCTAGTTCTCTCCCTTGTAATAGTCTTTTTCTCCTTTTCCCATTTATTCAAAACATCTCTAGAATCTGTCCTTTTCTATTTATTTTTAATCTACTAAAACTTTACACTGATATTCTTTTCTCTCTCTCTTTTTTTTTTGCTGAGGAAGATTAGCCCTGAGCTAACATCTGTGTCAATCTTTCTCCACTTTATATGTGGGTTGCTGCCACAGCATGGCTGAGGACTGGTGTGGGTCCATGCCTGGGATATGAATCCATGAACCCAGGCCGCTGAAGTGGAGCACACCAAACTTAACTGCTAGGCCACCGGGCCAGCCCCTACACCTATATTCTTAAGCACCTCTTGTTATCCACTGAACATTAGCTCCTTATAGATACTGACTAGGCCACTTTTATCTTTGTATCTTCAGTGCCTAGAACAATTCCAGGTAGATAGTCAGTGCTAACTAAATGTTTGGAGAAATAATCATAACTAATTGATCACAGGATCAGATAATTCATGGTTAAAAGGAAACCTGGTCTAATCTTCCACTTCCACATGACATGGAAGTTCCTTCTGCAGCATCCCTTCAAGCATCCCTCAAGCATCCAGCCCATGCTTGAATACTGCCAGTGACCAGAGCTGATTCCCTTACAGAAAAGCTATTCCGCCATTGGACAGTTCTAATCAATTTAAAGATCATTCAGTCCTTTTTTTTTCATTCAATGAAAACTGAATGTTGATTACATGCCAAGCACCAAACTAAATTTAGTGGCTCAAAAGTGAATCAAATATAATCCTTAAAATAGGTTAAACATAGGTTAATAGAGAGAGGTAGACATACAAGCAGATAAGTATAATAAAGTACTGGTCCTATTATGTACTACCCAGTACACTCAGATACTGGATAGACTGGGGGGACTGAGAAGGAGGAGGTGACACTTCAGCTTGAGGTGAAGGCTAACACTTCCTTCTAAGAATTTCTACAGTAGCCCCAGTTTTTCTTCAATAGCACTTTTTTGTTTTAAACAGTCATCACAGAACTTTATTAAAAGCATCAGTTCCCATTTTTTGTTTTTACTGAGGTCATAATAGTTTGTAACACTGTGACATTTCAGTTGTATATTATTATTTGTCAGTCACTATATAAATGTGCCCCCTCCCCCCTTGTGTCCACCCCTAACCCCCTTGCCCCTAGTAACCACTAAACTGTTCTCTTTGTGTGTTTGTCTTCCACATATGAGTGAAATCATACGGTGTTTGTCTTTCTCTGCCTGGCTTATTTTGCTTAACATAATATTCTCAAGGTTTATCCATGTTGTTGCAAATGGGACGATTTTGTCTTTTTTTATGGCTGAGTAGTATTTCATTGTAAATATATACCTCATCTTTATCCAATCTTCAGTTGACAGGCACTTAGGTTGCTTCCACGTTTTGGCTATTGTGAATAATGCTGCAATGAACATCGGGGTGAATGGGTCTCTTTGTATTGTTGATTTCAAGTTCTCTGGATAAAAACCCAGTAGTGGGATAGCTGGATCATAAGATATTTCTAGTTTTTTAATTTTTTGAGAAATCTCCATACTCTTTTCCATAGTGGCTGCACCAGTTTGCATTCCCCAGTGTATGAGGGTTCCCTTTTCTCCTCTCCAACATTTGTTATTTTTTGTCTTGGTGATTATAGCCATTCTAATGGGTATAAGGTGATTAAGAGTAATTTTGATTTGTATTTCCTGATGATTAGTGATGTTGAACATCTTTTCACGTGCCTATTGACCATCTGTATATCTTCCTCGGAAAAATGTCTGTTCATATCCTCTGCCCACCTTTTGGTAAGGTTGTTTGTTTTTTGGAGTTCAGTTGTGTGAGTTCTTTATTTATTATGGAGATTAACCCCTTGTCAGATATATAATTTGCAAATATTTTCTCCCAGTTGGTGGGTTGTCTTTTCATTTTGATCCTGGTTTCCTTTGCCCTGCAGAAGTCTTTAGTCTGATGAAGTCCCAGTTGTTTATTTTTTCTTTTGCTTCCATTGTCCAAGTAGACATGGTATTTGAAAAGATATTTTTAAGACTGATGTCAAAGAGTGTACTGCCTATATTTTCTTCGAGGAGTTTTATGCTTTCAGATCTTACCTTCAAGTCTTTGATCCATTTTGAGTTAACTTTTGTGTACGGTGAAAGATAATGGTCTACTTTCATTCTTTTGCATGTGGCTGTCCAGTTTTCCCAACGTCATTTATTGAAGAGACTTTCCTTTCTCCATTCTATGTTCTTAGGTCCTTTGTCGAAGACTAGCCGTCTGTAGATGTGTGGTTTTTTTCTGAGCTTTCAAATCTGTTCCATTGGTCTGTGTGCCTGTTTTTGTACCAGTACCATGCTTTTTTGATTACTGTAGCTTTGTAATATATTTTGAAGTCAGGGATTGTGATACCTCCAGCTTTGTTCTTTTTTTTCAGGACTGCTTTAGCTATTTGGGATCTTTTGTTGCCCCATATGAATTTTAAGATTCTTTGTTCTATTTCTGTGAAGAATGTCATTGGGATTCTGATTGGGGTTGCACTGAATCTGTAGATTGCTTTAGGTAGTATGGACATTAACTATGTTTATTTTTCCAATCCATGTGCATGGAATATCTTTGCATTTCTTTATGTCATTATCAATCTCTTTCAATAACGTCTTATAGGGGCCAACCCGGTGGCGTAGTGATTAAGTTTAGGCTCTCCACTTCAGCAGCCTGGGGTTCACAGCTTCAGATCCTGGGCGTGGACCTAGCACTGCTCATCAAGCCACCCTGTGGTGGTATCCCACATTAAATAGAAGATGGGCACAGATGTTAGCTCAGTGACAATCTTCCTCAAGCAAAAAGAGGAAGATTGGGCAACACATGTTAACTCAGGGCCAATCTTCCTCACAAAAAAGATAAATAATTTCTTACAGTTTTCCTTGTATAGGTCTTTTACCTCCTTGGTTAAACTTATTCCTAGATATTTTATTCTTTTTGTTGCGATTGTAAATGGGATTGTATTCTTGAGTTCTCTTTCTGCTAGTTTTTTTATTGGAGTATAGAAATGCTACTGATTTTTGTAAGTTGATTTTGTACCCTGCAACTTTGCTGTGGTTGATTATTTCTAATAGTTTTCCAATGGATTCTTCAGGGTTTTCTATATATAAAATCATGTCATCTACAAACAGCAAGAGTTTCACTTCTTCAGTGCCTATTTGGCTTCCTTTTCTTTCTTTTTCTTGCCTAATTGCTCTGGCCAGAACCTCCAGCACTATGTTGAATAAGAGTGGTGAGAGTGGGCACCCTTGTCTTGTTCCTGTTCTCAGAGGGATGGCATTCAGTTTTTCTCCATTGAGTATGATGTTGGCTGTGCATTTGTCATATATGGCCCTTATTATGTTGAGGCACTTTTATTCTATACCCATTTTGTTGGGAATTTTTATCAAAAATGGATGTTGGATCTTGTCAAATGCTTTCTCTGAATCTATTAAGATGATCATGTGGTTTTTATTCCTCACTGTATTAATGTGATGTATCACATTGATTGATTTGCA